AGAAGAGAGGAGAGGAGGGGAGGGGCGGGCAGGGGAAAAGAGAAGAGGGGAGGGGAGGGGAGATGACATCCCGGGCCACAGCCAGGGCTGCCAGGAAACATGGGAGCCCCAGGCAAACTGGAATTTCAGATAAATAAGGAGTATAAGCCTGTCTCATACAGTATCAGGGACATACATCAAAAACCACCGTTTCTCTGAGATGCAGATTTCACAAGGCATCCTATCATTTGCTGCACCTGGCAGACCCGTCCTCAGCAGCCACATGGGGTTCAGTGTTCTCCTTGGATGCTGAGGGGTGATGGTACATAGGCAGGAGTCTGTGCAAATCTAGGGCTCAGAAAGAGGTATGGCCAAGATAGGTGTTTCTGGCAGCAGCAGGGCCTGGACGATGTCAAATCCTTGCTTGGAGGGATGGCCAGTAAGAGTGGGTGGAGACAGGCCCAGGCTCCTGGTGACTGGCCAGGGAGGACAGAGAAGGAAATGGGCCCCAGGCACCACTGGGTACCTTGACATGATTGGTGGTTGGGCGAGGCAGATGGCAGGGTCCTTTGGGTGGCTGGGCGAGGCAGATGGCAGGGTCCTTTGCGGAAGAGGCAGCAGCAAAAGCTGCCCTTAGGAGGCAGCGAGGAGGTGAAACCAGAGAGCATGCCTGTGGAGGTTTCCTCCAGTGCCTTATGGTTTTAAATACGCAAACCTTTGATGCATCTGGAATTTACCTTCATTTCCTAGCAATTTTTCTCAATGGCTAAATATTTGGGGGATTTTCATGGTAGTTGCACTGAAAGTATTAACTGGTCAGGGAGAGTTAAATCAAGACCACCAGCTCAAGAAACAGCGGTCTGTTTTTCCACCCCCACATCTGCATCCAGGCCCTTCCAGAGATTTCGTTCTCCTGCAGATGACTCATTCAGTGTCTAGGAATCTGGTGCTTTTTGGCCATGACCGTGAGTGGGATATTTTCCCCCAGTTTATTTTCTAGCTGGTCGTCGCCAGCTAGGAGGAAGCTCCCCTTCTGCGTGTTTGTTTGGTGACTGTTGTTGCCCTCTGCCTGTTTTTTTTATTTCAGTTGTTTTGCTTCCTGCTTGGCTTTTTCAGGCTGGTCATAAGGTCGCCCGTAACCTAGGGTGGTCCTGCCGCCTCCTCACAATTTTCTGTGTTTTGTTCTTCAGTCTTACTGTGTTGGAGAGCGACTCACTGCCGAGTAGGGGAGTGACAGCAGCTGCCTTCCTTTGCTACTGGTGATGACAATACAAGTGACCCTTGAACAATGCAGAGGTGGGGCGCCAACCCCCCACATGGTCAGAAATTCGAGTGTAGCTCTTGACTCCCTGAAAGCTTAACTACTAATAGCCTACTATTGCACAGAAGCCTTACTGACAACATTGTCAGTCAATTAACCCATATTTTGTATGTTACAAGTATGTATACTGTATTCTTTTTTTTTTTTCTTTCTTTTTTTGAGACTGAGTCTCCCTGTTTTGCCCAGGCTGTAGCACAATGGTGCGATCTTGGCTCACCACAACCTCTGACTCCCGGGTTCAAGCAATTCTCCTACCTCAGCCTCTCCAGTAGCTCAGATTATAGGTGCCCGCTACCATGCCCGGCTAATTTTGTATTTTTGGTGGAGATGGGGTTTCACTATGTTGGCCAGGCTGGTCTCAAACTCCCAACCTCAAGTGATCCACCTGTCTTGGCTTCCCGAAGTGCTGGGATTACAGGCGTGAGCCACTGTGCCCGGCCTATACTGTATTCTTAGAATAAAGTAAGCTAGAGAAAAGAAAGTGTTATTAAGAAAATTAGACCCAGCATGGTGGCTCACGCCTGTAATCCTTGCACTTTGGGAGGCCAAGGTAGGAGGATTGCTTGAGCCCAGGGAGTGGAGGTTGCAATGAACCAAGATCACACCACTGCAATCAGCATGGGCGATAGAGTGAGATCCCATCTCAAAAAGGAAAAACCCACAGAAAATATATATACTTTTCATGAAGTGTAAGTGGATCATCATAAGGTCTTCATGTTGAGGAGGCCAAGAAGAAGGAGGAAGAGGAGGGGTTGGTCTTGCTGTCTCAGTGGCAGCAGAGGCAGAAGAGAAGCTTAATATAGGTGACCCACAGTTCAGAACCATGTGGTCAAGAGTTAACACCTTAAACCTTCTGTCTTTCTCCTTTGGGGCCAGATGCTTTTATTTTTATTTTATTTATTTATTTTTTTTCCTGAGATGGTGTCTCGCTCTGTCACCCAGGCTGGAGTGCGATGGTGCAATCTCAGTTCACTGCAAGCTCCGCCTCCTGGGTTCTTGCCATTCTCCCGCCTCAGCCTCCCAAGTAACTGGGACTACAGGCATCCACCACCGCACCCAGCTAATTTTTTGTATTTTTTTTTTTAGTAGAGACGGGGTTTCACCGTGTTAGCCAGGATGGTCTTGATCTCCTGACCTTGTGATCCGCCCACCTCAGCCTCCCAAAGAGCTGGGATTACGGGCGTGAGCCACCGCACCCAGCGGGCCAGATGCTTTTTCATTGTATTTTTGCAGGGGTAGGGGTGGGAGAGGGATGGAGAATGCGTCTTCTTCCCATGTATAAAGTAAGCTTCTGTCATGTGAAGGAAGAACCATTCGATGTGACACAGCAACCTGCCCAGCTGGGCATTGCCTCGGTGCTGGCAGGCCGCTGGCACTGGTGAGGCTGTGACACAGGAGAATTGGTCAGAGACTGCAAACCTACCGTGTTTCTGGGATGAATGGAGTATTCCTTCATTCCTGTGCAGCCTTTCCGCAGCCTCGGGTGTCTGTTGGCCGCTGTTTGTTCTGAGTGTGGCTTCGTTCTTCCTGAGTGAGCTTGCTCTGTACTTTCCCTTGGGAGTTTTATTACCAGCTTTGGGTTTTCTTCCCAAGATATGGGTTGTGGACCTTTATTCTTTTCCTGTGTGCTAGGACAGTCAGGATGATGGAAATAAGCAGTTCCTTGAAGATCTAGAGGGTCTTCATTTTCACCTGCAAAACCACCGCGGCCAGGCTCCTTTTCATGGTATAGATAATTGGCAACCTTTTCAGAATCTTTCCGGTGTTATTGGTCCCTTTGGGTTTTCCTTTTTTTTTTTTTGGACGGAGTCTTGCTCTGTCGCCCAGGCTGGAGTGCAGTGGTGTGATCTCGGCTCACTGCAACCTCCATCTCCCAAGTTCAAACGATTCTCCTGCCTCAGTCTCTCAGGTAGCTGGGATTACAGGTGCCGCCACCACGCCCAGCTAATTTTTGTATTTTTAGTAGAGATAGGGTTTCGCCATGTTGGCCAGGCTGGTCTCAAACTCCTGATCTCAGGTGATCCACCTGCCTCGGCCTCCCAAAGTGCTGGGATTACAGGCGTGAGTCACCGCACCCGGCTGGGGTTTTCTGTGTCTTGTAGCAATGATGTTGTTTTACATTTTCCTCTGAAATTGTTCATTTTATCCAACATATCATTATGTGGACGATTATTTTTCTAATTCCCTCTACATCTGTGAACATTTGTCCTTTTCAGTGCAATTTTGTGACTTTGTATTTTCATGTTATTTCTTGATCAGAATGGACAGTGGTTCATCTGTGATTAGTCTCTTCCCCACTGATTCCTGCCCGCCTCCCCTGCAAAACAAAACCAGTTCTTGAGTTTACTTATCCTACACTTTCTTGAATGCCTAACACATTTGTTTCTGTTCTTTCTGGCGTGGGAATGAAACGTCATCAGTTCTCTGCTTGGCAGCTTGGCTGGATCCCTCGAGTTTTCCTCTGCCTTGTGCTCCGTGTTGATATTTTCTGGATTCTCTATATTTGTGGTTTCTGTCTCCTCTGTAGCACGTGAATTGTTTGGAAGCAAGTTTTGGCAAATCTCAGGGGCTCGGGCTTTTTGGTTTCTCTCCCGATACTCATTGCTGGTTTTATTGCACTGTGGTTGGGGCAGAACAGGAACCACAACCACAACTTAGTGTGCATTGCGGGTTCTTTCTTGTCTTGCAGATTTTTCCTGTTGTAAATGACCCATAAGCCCATGGGAGGACTGTGGTGTTTTTATGCATCCATCCCAGTCATCATATAAATTTAATACTTAGGGCCTCCGTATCCTTGTTTTCATCTTCCCCATCTGTGCACATTGTGTGAAAACCCTGCACTGTGTTCGTGATCCTGCCTGCTTTCCCTGGGCACATGTCGCTGCGTGTTCTGTGCAGGGGAGAAGATGGGGAATTCCATATGTGACCCTGACAGTCACAGCTTCGTAGTGACTTCTTATAGCCTAACCTCTGTCCCAGTCAGGCTTTGTTAATTGCAGTAAAGTATACACAACATAAAATGTACCATCTTACCTATTTTTAAGTGTACAGTTCTGTGCCACTAAGCACACTCATGTTGCTGTACAACCATCGCCACTATCCATCTCCAGAACTTTTCTCATTTTGCAAAACTGAGACTTGTCCCAGTTAAACCCTAACCTCCTGCTGATTTACCACCTCCCCCAGCCCCTGGACCCACGATTCTACTTTCTGTCTGTGAATCCGACTACTCTAGGAACCTGTATAAGTGGAATCATACAGCATTTGTTCCTTTGTAACTGGCTCATTTCACTTAGCCTGATGTCCTTAAAGTTCTTCCGTGTTGTAGTGTGAGTCGGAATTTCCTTCCTTTTGAAGGCCAAGTAATATTCCACTGTTATGGATAGACTACATTGTGTTTGTCCATTCATCTGTTATTCCACTCTTATGGATAGACCACATTGTGTTTGTGCATTCATCCATGGACACCTGGGTTACTCCCACCTCTGGCTGTTGTGAATCAGGCTGCTGTGAACATGGGTGTGCAGATATCTCTTTGAGACCCTGCTTCCAATTCCTTTGGGCATATGCCCAGAAGTGGGATTGCTGGATCATCAGGTGGTTCTGTGTTTAATGTTTTGAGGAGCCGCCACCGCGTTTCCCTCGTGGCTGTGGCATTGTGCGTTCCCACCAGCAGTGCACAAGGCTCTGGTTCTCAGGGGCCGTGTGAGGCTGCCTCTGCCACGCTGCCGGCTCCCTGACACGCGGTGGGGGAGCCAACCTTGGAGCGCCGAGCCGGCAAAGAAAAACCGTCTCCACAGCCTTGGCAAAGCTTGTGATTTTGTTTTCGATGGTGGCCGTTCTAACAGGAATGAAGAGCCATTCGTTACTTCATACGTGGACAGCGGCAGCTTTGTCAGGGACAACATGGTAGTTTCTCATTGTCTAGTCTTTTTTCTGTGTCATGTCCCACCACCCATCTTTTGAATGTTCCCCTGAGTCACTTAGCTCTTTGACCTGGTTTAGCATCCGGTTTTCTTGTGGATTTTAGGGACACGTTAATGTTGTTTACCAAATCCCGGCGCCTGCCCTGAGGGCCTGGTGACCCTGGGCAGGCCGCTTCCTGTCCCGTGCAGCTCTGATCTACAGGACAGGGCGGTGTGGGAGCACCCATGTCCCGGCCTGAGGACTCTCCAGGCCTCAGTGGGGGTGGTGGCAGGGCCTGGCCCACGCGGCTCCCTGATGCTGCTCACCCGCCCTTCTGGCTTTAAGAAGTGGAGCTCTTCTAACATCTTATTTTCCATTTTCTTTCCTTAATACTTACAGGGGCTTCCTAATTTTTCTCCAGGTCAGTATTTTCTTGTTCTTCTCTGGTAATTTGAAAGGTAGACAGTATGTTTTTAGTTCAACCTGTGTTTTATTTTATGACTTAAAAAAAAAATGAGGATTTCTTGACTTCTCAACTTCAGAAATGAGGAGTGCCTGTTGACAATGCATAGAATTTTACTGAGTGGCAGTTGTGGACAGGACCAAGGCTGGGGAGGAGGATGGAGGGTGCTGTGTGCAGTCAGGGGTCTGCCACCAGGTTCCTGAGGTTGGAGGTGAGGCTGGAGGCTGCCACAGTTATCCGAGTGAGGACTTGGAAGGGCCTGGGCATTCCCAGTAAGAGTGGGCAACACAGACCAAGACGGGGACAAAGAACTGTGCACAGCACCCCCATCCGGCACAAAGCAGGCACTTCGTGGGGGTACAGGCTCTGAGCCCAAGAGAGGGGACGGTGGGCTGGAATGCAGTGCTTTGCTGTCTTTGAGGCCCAAAATCAGGTGACAGGTGGAGGAGAATCTACTTGGTGGAGGCTTTGGTGGGGTAAGCAGCTGTGTGGGTGGGAGGGGAACGGCCCGGCCCTGGCCCATGGCCCCAAGGACCTTTCCTCTTCTGGCAACCGCCCCGGCACTGGATGCTCAGAGGTGTCCACGGATGGCGGGGAGTTTCTCAGCCTGGGCTTGAGAAGTTGGAATGAGAGGGTCTTGCTGGAGGAAGGAGAGTACCAAGGTGACCCCTGGAGAGACAGGACTTTAGACAGAGCAGGGCAGGGAGAGGGGGAGCTCAGACTGCTGAGTGCTTTCACTCTAGAGGACGTCAAGTTTGAGCCGGAGGGAAGCACTGGGGAGATATCCTGGCCACGCAGGAAATGCCAGGCTGTGGTTGACACCTCACGCGGGCACTCGCATGCCTGAAACGGACCAGGTCATGCAGGGAGCAGACACTCACCAGGGGCAGAGGCCTCGCAACCCACCAGGGACAGATCGTGGCAACTGAAGGGGCCCTGTTCGGGAGAGCCAGCCATCAGGGAGCCAGGAGCAGGCGTTCCCGTGACATCAGGGAGGCAGGAGCAGGCGTTCCTGTGGGCTGGGGAGCTCCGGGTTCCTCCACCACACCCCTGCCCCAACTCCCTTGGGCCCTGGGTACTTTCGCCCTTTGGAACAGTCGTCCCCAACTCTCTCGGTCCTGCCCCTGCCAGTAAAATAATCTGGACATGCTCCTCCAGGATTTGCTTATAAGTTAGACCCCTGTGCCACTGCGCTATGTGTTATAAAATATTTGCAAAAACAGGCCAGGAAGTCAAGGCTGCGGTGAGCCGAGAAAGCACCAGTGCACTCCAACCTGGGCAGCAGAATGACACCCTGTCTCAAAAAAAAGAAAGAAAGAAAACCACTAGATATGGTGATGGTTGTGCAACTTCGTGAATTTACTAAAAATCATTGAATTGTCTATATAAAATGGGTGAATCTGTGGTATATAAACTATACTTCAATAAAGGTGTGTTTTAGAAGAGAAAAAACATAGGCTTCTTTGAAAGGAGAGATGCTGAGAATAGTGTACTACAGTCATGACCATCTTTCCGCCCTCCTGCGAGGGTATCGTCCATGTCTTAAGGACGGTAGCGGTTCTTAGCAGGGGCTTCAGGATTGAGTGTGGATCGAGCCTGTGTTTAGATGGACGATGCCAGCCCCTCCGCCCAGGAGGTTCTCGCATGGGGAGGAGAGGCAGCTCAGCAGCCTGTTCTCAGCCTGCCCTGGTGCTGCCAGAGGCACCTCGTGCTCTCTTCAGTTCATGCCCCTTCGCAAAAGTCGCCCACTCAGTGGCGGTGACAATGGCCACACACCCACTCTCCCAGGGCCCCTGTACTGCTGGGCACTAGTGTGGAGTGGCCAGGTGACTGTCCAGGTCGTGGACTCACGCATGCCCAGTGAGAGCCCCCGAAGCCACTCCTGGGAAGCCTGAGGGAAGCAGACACCCTGAGGAAGCCCGCCTTCAGCCGGGGCTCCTGGCCCAGGGTCTCAGGGCCTCCACAGACATGGGTCACCCATAGCCTTTGGGGCTGCTGTTGGGGTCTCCGCAAGAGGTCACTGACCTCATCATGCCTCCCACGTGTTCTGAGATAAGCGTGCCAGGGATTGCATCTGGGCTCTACCATTCCTGGGCTGTGTGACTCTTAACCTGTCTGAGCCCCTCTGTCCCTGCCGTAAGGGTTATTTGTGAGGATTAAATAGGCTAATAGTGGCCGGGCACCGTGGCTCACACCTGTAATCCCAGCACTTTGTGAGACTGAGGTGGGACGATGCCCAGGAGTTCAAGACCAGCCTGGGCAACGTGGGGAAACCCCATCTCTACAAAAAATAGAAAAATTAGCCGGGTGTGGTGGCATGTGCCTCTGGTCCCAGCTACTCAGGAGGCTGAGGCAGAAGGATCGCCTAAGCCCAAGGAGGTCAAGACTGCAGTAAGCCATGATTGTGCTGCTGCACTCCAGCCTGGGCAACAGAGCAAGACCCTGTCTCAAAATAAATAGGCTAATGGATGTAAGGGACTTAGGCCAGGACGTGGCCTGTGAGCTGAAGCTATCAGCATCCTGGACTGGCTGCTGGGAGGGGAGCAGGCAGGCTTCAGGAATTTGCATGAACTTGTCCTAGAACCCAACCTGCACTCTCCATTTAGCCACCACCCCAGCTGGGAGGAGGACAGTGATGGGGTCTGAGCTTCTCTCTCTACAAATCTAAAATACACAGCTGCAGAACTGGCCTTTCCTGCCCCGTGTGGCACAGACCAAACACGGACGTCAAGTGCATTGGCTGAGTCTGAGACCCATCAGCTCTGTGCCCCTTGTCTCCTTTGTCCAAACATCTGATGAGCTGAGTCCAGGGGTCCCTTATGGGGGGCCCGGCTGCCCTGTAGTTCTGTCCCCACTCTCTCACTTTGCTTGAGGGGCCCTCACCTTTGGGGTGCCTGCTATGTATGCTCTTTTCAGGGACGCTGGCCTGCTATGGGGAGGGAGGCCATTGCTCTGAACTCCCCCAAGCAACACTGAGTTCCTAACTTATGCACAGCTCGAGGAAAGGTTCCTGTCTTAACACGCCGAGTGCGGAGTGAGGAATGCAGCCGTCTACCCAGCAACCTCTGCACACGGCTTTTTAAAGACATGATTTATGAATGATTACATTTGCAGTCACACAGAGGAATGGAAGCTATTTGGCCCTGAATGGCTTGTTTTAAAACTTTGGCAATTTATTCTGTTTTAAAACTTTGATGTTACCTCTCTCTCCAAGGAAAGAAACCACATCAGTCTCGTTTAAGAAAAACCCAAGCATTCTTCGCCTGTACCTAAAAAATGAAACAGGTTTCCAGATTTGCCTGAACGGCTGCCCCTGGCCTCATCCCAGCTGTGGGACTCTGGGCTCGCATAGGGCGGGAAAGAACGGGCAGCATTGGTCGGGGAGGGCTCTGTCCCTAAGGAGCAAGGGACATGGGCTGGGCATGGTAGCCCCGCCCCTTGAGAGGCACAGTGGCTCTTTAAGAGAGGTGGGGGATGCATCCAGGAGAGACCAGCCCAGAGCCAGGCCAGGGTCAAGGCCACCGGACCAGCCCTGCAGCCAGACCAGGACAGGGGGCTGCATGGGTGGTGGAAGCTAGAACTGGCTGGGCTGCAGGACAGGAAGGCCCAGTAGGTTGGGGGCAGGCAGCTGCTCTGGACAGCCCAGGGGACTGCAGGAGACTGACCTGAATATGACAGGGAAGGACACCCTGTGGCCTGGGGTGAAGGGATCACTGTCATTGTTTCTGGCCCCTGCACCTGCACTCCCCTCGCCTGTTGGGGACCCCGCCAGAAGGAGCAGCTCGGCCTCCCCACGGGGACTGGCTCTGCAGGGCGATTGTGCAGACCCCACTTCCCAGACCCTCCTGGGGACTTGGGAGCCACCAGCGTCCCTTTACCAGATCCTCCACCGCTCACACCAGCCCCAGTTGGCTTCTGCTGCGTGCAGCCGAGGATCCTGACTGAGGCACAGACGTGCCTGTTCATCTTCATTCGTCCTAACAGCGGCTCTTCCAGAGGAGGAGGGGAGTCCGCAGTGGTTTGTGACCCTGGCACCCAATCTGTCCACTCCACGCAGGACAGCGTGAGGCACACTTGCTTCACTCCCAGGCAGAATGGCCACTGAGAAAGCCGGATATGGCTGTCTTACTTATTTGCTGCTTCATTTGACAAATATTAATGTGCAAAGCCACTGGGTGCCAGGGAGGATGTATGCATGAGTCAGAAAGGAGTGGGAGATGAGAGGGCGGCCAAGAGAGTTCTGAGAAAAGAAAGAGACCTTCCACCAGCCCTGAGAGAGGCTCTGAGGAAATGGGCTGGGGGACAGGGTGGGGGAATGGCTTCCCACAGGTAGGGTCAGCCGCGGGCCTCTTGGAGGACAGGGCAGTGGAGGAGGGCAGCGGAGGAGGACAGGGGCCTGGGATTCACCAG